AGACATTTGGGATGAGATAAAAATAAAAAAGGTATTTTAAGAAATGCTTTTAGATAGAGATAAAGAGACGTTGAAAGAAAGTTCACCCGTTGGAGCATATGCCTTTTGGAAGATGAGGTTAGAGTGGGAGGAGGATAGGTTGTCAACTTTAAACATTAATAAAAGCTAACGAATATGGTTGTGAGAGGAATTTCATGTTAACTAATTAAAGAAAAAGTCATGGATTTATAAATAAGAAATTCTTTCGTACATAATATTTATATTATTATTTATTTTATCTTTTTATTTCATTCATTACTTATTTTACTACTATTTCATTATATAATTATTACTTAATCAAATATAAACTTGAAATATAATTAATAAATTAAAAAACTCTGAATCATATTTATTTATTGCAAAAAGAAAGCAACCCTTTCTAGAACTATTAGAGAATTACCTCTAAAATAGCTTTTAGATGAATATGAATATATTATTTTAATTTTTTACACGAATATATTTACTTTTTATAACAAAAAATTTAATCACTTTAAAATCATAACTAAACTTATAATAGGATTTTTTTAAAAAAATTTGTATAAAAAAACATTGGAATTTAAAATAAAAACATGTACTTGAAGATGCTTTGACAAAGAAATTGAGGAAAAATATATACATATATTATTTATATCCATCCCATCAAGCTTCTATATATAAACACAGCAACACAGCAACACAGCATTGCAAGCAAACAGAAAAGGAAACGAGAAAAAATCACAAAACAAAATAAGGAACTCGGCGGAGATGGCAAGGAAAAGCAAAACGTACCAGCCCAGGCCGAAGCTATCAAGAGAGCAGCTAAGCGTAATCTTCAGAAACCACGACGGCGATGGCGACGGCCGTCTAAGCACCACCGAGCTCACTGCAGCTTTCAGGTACATTGGCGCATTTCTTCCGTCCTACAGAGCTCTCCACGCTCTTCTTCACACTGATTCCGATGGAGATGGATTCATCGGCGAGAAGGATTTCGAATTGCTTGTCAATTATGCCGAGAAACGCAAATACACCGTCATTTGAATTTATAGGGATTTCTTTTTGCCCTTACTGTTCGAACTCTGTGTTTCTGTGGTTTAATTTAGGATTTGGTGTGTAATCTGTTGTGTAATGAATGGATCTTTTGAGTTAAAATTATAGTCTTATTATTATTATTTATTTTTTTTGTCGGGCAATCCTCTCTGAAGTATTTTAGAAATACCAAATTAAAATCATACCATTCTAAATAATATCATATCATTATGGGACGTGCGTTCATATAGAAAATTAGTTGATATCAACTGGCATGCGTTGCTTTTTGGTATATAAAATATTTTAAAATATTCTTAAATAAAAAGAAGGTTGTAATATAATTTATTTAATCTCAAGGGAATAAGAATCCATAATCAGAAATTAAAGTTCCCATCAATTAGGGCTTTCAAAGGCAAAGAAATTAAAAAAAGGTCCTTTAATTTTAAATTAATTTAAGTAAAATTTAGAAATTTAGGAAGCAAATACGTGTTTATATAAAAAAAGATTTGCTTACCATTTAAAAATTGGTCACCCATTCTGTTTTTAAAATATCATATTCAATTTTAAGTTGGGCCTAATTGGGCATATTTATATATGGGCCAATCATGAAACGCAGGCCCAAACTCACCCTAATTGGGCATATTTATATATGGGCCAATCATGATTCAATTTTGGAATTTTGGAATTGTAGGAAGCACTATGGTCGTCTCAATTGCTTGGTAATGCCGTCGCACGGGCGGCTGAAAGGGCGCTGCCACCGCCTAGTCGTGCGCACTTGACGCAAATTCAAAAGCTCTTTGTGAGTTTGGATCTCTCCCTTTGGGCACTTTTTTCTGTTTCTGCAATTGATCGCATTTTTCCATGATTGCTGAAAAGAGTGAGAACACTTTTCGTGTGGGACTACGGGTTACTGGGCTGTGATATGATCAGGTGGGGGTTCTTTATATTCTACGAACTTAGCCAATCACGCAGCTATACCTCATCATCATCATCTTCTCTGGACTTTTTTGATGGTTCTGTTGGAGTTCAAAGGGTCATAGTTGATTAGAGCTTTGAGTGGGCTTTTGAATTATTGTATCTCTTTCTATCGTTTTGTTGGACTCACTTGTAAAATTCATTCCATTCTGTCCCCACTCTGACATCTCTGATTCAAGCTCTTTTTCCATTGCCCTTGTGAATTGCTTATGAAGCTTCACTTTAGCTTGTATGTCGATTATAGGACAAGTCTGGATATGGAAATGCCAATTTCTAGTCTCAACTTTAGGAAAATTTTGAATGATTTTTTTTCCCTTCCGTTCTGTTCTTCTACATATAGTGATTCTGAAAGTAAAATAGTAAAAGGTTTGATCCAAGGCGAGGAGGTTATTAGAATTATGTATAACAACAGTTAATCATTGGCCTTTTTACATGAAATACCAACTTCATTTCTCTTAGCTTCAGTTGAAATCATCGACACCTCTGTTAATGGATATTTTACAGGAATCCGAATTTGCAAGCAAAGAAACTTTACTGTTAATAGCAGCTCTTGACAATGGTTTTATCATCTTTAACAATGGAGTTCTTGCAGTGGACAATGGCAGCTTGAATAGCAGACTGCAACTCTTCCATGGTGCTATCACTAAAAGAAGAAGAAGAAGAAGAAGAAGTCATAGAGGGAGTAGCAAAGAGGAGGCCACTATTTGTTGGGGATGTCCTCATGGATGCTGGTGCTGAGAATTCTCCTCGCCTTCCTCTCAATTGTTCTTGCTTGTATCGCGGATTCAAATTACCTGAAAACGAATAGGCTTGGCGACGAATGTGGAAGCTCTCTTTCCTCCATCTGAACAACAACAATGGCCTGACCACTCTTGCATATCGCTTTAGAACTTGAGTGACATCAAACCCCAGCTTCCTTTTGTGCTTTCCTCTATCATTTTTCTCGTTAGTGTCGCACCCTTTTCGCCATTTTGGAAACCCAAGCAATGAGAAAGGCTTGGATTTGGTCCTGCCACCTGGTTCCGTAGGTGCAGTTGGGTGGTGGTTGGGGCTGCTGATGCAGCAGCTTGAGGTGTCTTTGATGGGGTGTTGATGGTCCCAAAAGTGTTTGATAGGGATGGAAGTGGTGGAGGAGCGAGGTGAAGAGGGAAGGTGGGAGAGGAGATGAAGGGGGAGCAAGTGGCCATGGAAGAAGATGTCATCTGCAGGAGACAAGTCAATGGCGAAGGAAGGAGGAGTGGGTTTGGATTTGGGTTTGAAAGAAGAAGAATGGAGAGGGGTTGTGAAGGAGAATTCATGTGAAGGAGAAGAGGAAGCAGAGGGAGAAAGAGGAGGAGATGTTTCTTCAACCTCAAAGCTCTCTGCTTCTTGCTTGCACTCTGCAACTTCCTCCTCTGCTGTCTTCTGCTTCTGATTTGAGTTCATAATTCAGATTCTCTCTCCCAACACTTAGGGTTCTAAGGATAAGGAAGATTCCGGAGCAGTGGAGAGAGAGAGAGAGAGAGAGCGAGAGAGGGATCTTGTCTCTTCACTGCCTGAAGCTGAGAATCCAACAGCCATTAAAGTACCAAGTACTTCGATCTAAGGATCCCTTCACAAATAGCATTTTTTTTTTTCTTTTTTTTTTTCTTTTTCCCTTAATATTCTTATATCTTTCAATAATTTTAATTAGATTATTTGAAATTATGGGTGTAACATCTTTTACCTTTCCAAAGAAAATCAAACAAGACCTCATATAATTTAACTTCAAGTATTAGATGGTGTTTCATTTTTTTTTTCTTTTTGTAATGTAATATTGTAATAAATATTTAAAAAGGAGAGAATCGAAGTCCTGATTGTGCAAGGTATGGGAAAGACACTTTTGGCAGTTAATCAATCCATACATTTCTGCTATCTAATTATTTATAATATTTTTATTTTTTTAGAAATAAAAATAAATGTAATTAGGTGAAGTCTATCAACTGTTACAGGACTTGCTGCATAAACCACATAATTTGTATAGTGGTGGCGACAGTTTTCCATTCATTTCAACCCTCTAATTTATCAATTAATCCTATTTTTCGATTTCATTCAACTTAATGCAAAATAAAGTCTTATAATAAAGTCTTATTCATGGCTTCAAAAAGAAGTGATAGGAGAAAAAGGGGGAAATTTTATAATATGAGGGGGAAAAAGAAGATAAGAATTTCAAGCAGTTTGGTGGAGTGGCAGAGACCCACACACACGTGTGAACGGTGGTCCAATCATATAAAGAAGAAGCAGGGTAGTTACTTTTGAGGTATTTTGAATTAGCTCAGGTCAACAACAAAGTCACTGAGAAAACATGAAAAATGTAGGAGCCATTCATATCCATCTCCTCTATGGGTGTGAGTGACTGGAGAAGATGAGTGGATATGAGAATCTCAAACCACAAAGGAAAGGAAAGGAAAGGAAAGGAAAAGAAAATAAATGCACAGGACTTGTGTAGATGGGTCCTTAGTAGTGACAAAGATTCTAACCTTCCTACAAATCTGTTCTAAGATCAAAATATGCAAATCTCTTATGTTTCTCTCACTTCATCAGATCAATAAAATGACTCGCCTCATAATTGGGGGGGTAGTCAAAGAAAGAAAAAGAAACTTTTATATCTCTCATGTGCTACGCTCTAAAGGAATAAAATCTAAAACACAAAACAATAGAAAGTCCCTATTAGCTAGCTTGCAGTTCACGTGTGGGTTGGCTTCTACTAGCCAAATACAACCAAAACAGTGTCTACTTCTTGCGGTGTGGCTTGTGACCACACTACGCACTAACCTCGGGGCGTCTAGATCTACAGCTTCACTATCCCCACAATAAGTGAAGAAGACGATCAGTGAGAGGGAGGAGAAGTGCACAAAGGCCAGATTCAAGTGTACGCCAAATAAAAACTGGGAGACTTCAATATCTAGATAATAAGAGAACAATTCGTACACAAACTAAAGTAATGGGTATCAAAGGATTTCTTTTTCTTTTCCTCGGAAAATGTGCCAGCCAATATTTTCTATTAATATGGTTCATCATCTTGAACATGTCAGAGAATGTAATAAAATGTATATGAACAAATCGTCTAGACAGCTGTGTTGCAAGGGATTTCCTCCTAACCAACAGTGAGCTAAACATATCTAATTGAATTCCCCTACATATTAAATTACAATGACGAATACGTTCACTCAGTGATATTGTAAGTAGGAAGGACAAGCAGATAATGGAATGAATGGAGAAACTAAATGATTTACCTTCACTCTTCAGTGTCATATACAAGCGACTTTATCAAAAGCTTTCCACCAAGATGTGAGGCAAGCATGTCAATCATAAACCGATGTCAGAAAACAGTATCCAAAAGCAATCAACTCTAACTGGCATCTCCTGCCTTGAAGAGTAGTAACACAATAGAGAGCTATATTTCCCAATGGAATTGCCGTGGAATCCAAAAAATGATCCAAATTCTCAAAGGAAGCAATGAGCATTGTGGAAAACCTCAGAAAGGGGTCCATTTCCGAGATGAAGGTCAATTCTGAATAATTTCTAAGTCTGGGTCAATTCCAAGATCACAATCAACTCTGCTCAGTGCACCCACAATGAAGTGTAACTGAAGAGTAGGCTAGTCACTTCCGCTGCTGTGTCTTTCTGTGCAGAGACATAAGAATAACTTTTAACCAATTTAGGGATAAATCTGTACAAAACTAATTTGAAATGATAAACACGCATAATCAATCACACACAAACACAGGATCCACAGACCTCCAGAAGGTCTTTTCCCTTCCATGGCTTCTTTCTTCTCTTGGCAACTTAAGCATAGAAAAGGTCCATCCCAAGCACGCAATTTTCCTCTGCTAGATGAGCCGGCATATATGGAGACACCCTCCCGAGGTTGGATCTCAACTTGGCATACTGCACATACAAACAGCTTAAACATGTTGCAGATAGGATACTTCGCCTCTAACCTGCATTTCAGAAGCTGAAGTCAGGATAGTATTGATGATAAGACGCTAATAATTCCTCAACATTACTAGTAAAAATTGTCCATCTGAATCGATCATCAAAATGTTGGTAAAATTTATTCAACTTCTCTGCTCTCAAAAAGCACAAACCTTTCTGACAGCATAGCCGATCCTTCCTCAAATAATTCCTCAACAACATCCGGCTCATTATATTCCTTATCAAGATGAGAAGATGATTCAGAAGTCTTTTTGCGGAACATTGATTTAAACATTCTTTTTCCCTGCTTCTTCGTTGGCGGCAAAGCAGTAGATGGTTTCTCCCTTGGTAATATGTCAATCACAATGCATGTAGTATCATCGCGAAGTCCCTTTGACTGTACTGCTTCCTGTAAAGAAAGATGGTCAATCAGGTGAAAAGCATCATACACTATAATAAAGAAAGTTATTATAACAGTATCAAACAAGGACTAAAGGAATCAATTTGTAACCATCCATACTTTAACAATCTGTGCAGCAGCAGTTTCTACCGGCATCCCCCGACAGCAATCGTAGGCAGTTTCAGCTGATAAAGCATCCCAAACACCATCACTTGAAATAATAACCCTACCACCAGTAGAAGATAGCTGCAAGATTAAATTAGAGCATGAATTTACGTGACAAAAGAATGGCATTCCAGACAAGATCAATTAAATATCAAATACAAAAACCCAGCAGCTGATGCCCTGACAAGATCTTATACACCAAGAGGCAATGAACTGAAAAATGTAAATATTTTACTGATAGCTAAAAATAAGAGCAGCAGTTCAAGAGGCTGGCCTGTACTCCATTAAATATTCTCTTACCCACCAAAAGACAAACGTATACATTTAGCATCTCTCTTTCGCCCCTCCTATTTATTAACTCTCTCTACCCTTCGATAGTTACAGTGTCCACTTAGTCATTTAAACACACCTGAGTTACTAGCAAGACTAATAGTACATTCTCATTTCTAACCAACTCTAAACCACCTCAGATGAGTTGCATGTGTTTCCTCTGACATCTCCTGCTACATGTGAACATGATTGGCAAATTATCATCATCTCACTTATATCAATTCATCTTCAATTCAATTGGACCACACATGATATAGCTCAAAGATAATGTTGCCATTGCTGTCTAACATAGTAATTTAATATTTGACAAAGATCAGTGCAACAGTATAATATTTTCCATAATTGCCTATGAAACCAACAATCCAGTAAAATAAAGCTCCAGTCTTTTACTCATATAAGGATATCATAACGTTTTTCTGCTATGGATGTCGAAGGATGTTGAAGATCCAAAACAAGGTTCACATGCAGATCACATGCCAAAACATGGGGAAAGAAAAAATAATAATAAATTAATGAGTCACCAACTGTGCACAAGCATCTGTCAACCAAAAGCAATTATAGAAAAACTCTGAAAAAGTGTTTCAAAGGGCAACAGCCTTATGCTAAATTTTGAGAGAAAACCTATTACATAGAAAAAGGGTTATTTTGTAGCAAGCAAGGATAGGTATAAATTTTAAATATATAACACGTAGAAAGATAGCTTCATCAGATAGAAACCTACCTTAACTTGCTTCACGTAGGGTACAGGCACTATAAACTCGCCAATATCCATATCACCAATTGATCGTGATAGACACAAGCCACCTGGCCAGCATCTCAATGGACCAATCTAAGATAAACAAAGAACACGCAAGCATCTAAAAGTCAGCCTTGGAACTCAAAAGTTGAAAAAGTAAGACTAGCTTATAAAAGTCTGAGTCAAATAACCGGACCTCTGCACCACCACCGGTATTCAGCCGGCCCACCTCACCGCCACTAGCAATTATACGTTCTCTCCTATTCAAAAGCATTCAAGAATCTTAAGCACAATACTAATAGTTAAAGTGGATGGCACTAAGTCACGTTGCATTGATAAATAATAACATACTCTTCTTCGTTGCATTCTAGCCTATGATCTGCTGATAAGTAGAAGATGTCACCTTCAGCTGATTCTAACGTGCAACGGGAATCCCCAACAGAAGCAACAGTGAGAACCCATCCCTCAATGATCATGAAGGTGACGGTGGTTCCTGATGTTTGTGCTGGAATAACAACAAATAGCAATGCATCAATATCATAAGTTTTTTAAAATGTCCATACCAGAATTGCAGCTTCTGGGCGGGGAACTTATAAGAGTAGTAGTAAGAAAAAGGCTGCAAACGTGCAGCCCATAAACTTATGATGATCAAGCAGAATGGGTTATGTCAAATACTTTCACGACTAATTCTGGGCAAACCAAAATCATAAAAATATATATCTTTTTTTTCTTTTCTCCTCCACATAAAGTTGCCAATTTGCAATCACGGGTGCACCATAATGGTACATATAAGTTTCCACAAACCTTTCATCATACAAAATAAAATGAACTCCAATCCACAATCTTCCCTTCCTAAGGTGAGTGAATGTGGATTACCCCAAGAGGAGGTAACCAAGAACGACTAAGATAATTTGGTTATATGGAGATAGTCTCACCTTTCTCTTGGAAATCTTTGTCCGTCTTCACAAAACCTGCAACCAAGGCCCTTGGCAATGCTGCAACCCATTCGTCTCTGTTGAGATCTGATGGAATAGCAGCTAAAACATTGTTCAACAAATTTTCCTTAGTATAAATAGCAGCGGCAGATCCATTATGTCCATCAAAAAGCTGCAAACATAAGAATTTAACATTTTAGTTAGAAGTCCAATAAAATGCAGCAGAATTTCGCGCTCTTGGGGGGGAAGATTATATACAGCGTAGCTGTTAAAAGTAAACATCTGATCGAATAGAGTACAACTTTTTCCAGCAGATAAAGAACCTACCCCAAAAACCGAATACGTAGAGACTCCATCCCCGACCACTCTCTCGCATTCCGACTTCAGTAATGTAAAATCCTCCCCTTTCTTACTCTGACTCGCCTGACCATGTACGATTTCCGGTCTCTCAATCTTCTCAATCGCCAATTCACGCTTCAGGAGCACGGACAGCGGGACTGTATGATGTTCACTCCTCGTGGACATTGTGTTTCGCGTCCTCCAAATTGCAAAACAGCCTTCCGAAGAAAATATGCAACTCCCAAGTCTAAATCGTCATATTTAATCGAACAAATTCTGTAAAATAGATCATCAAAAACCGCAAGAACCAAACACTTTACATGCACATACACCAATATTGTAGAGATAAAAGCCAAAAACGAAATTTGTACAAGAAGTTACACATCCAATCATACGCTTCAATGACGCAAATTACCATCATTCCTGCATACCTTATAAGATCTCCAAGGGGAAGAAAAAAAAAAATCCGCAAAAATAAGATTTGAAAAAAATATTAATAAAAATAACAACATTTCACGTTCCAATCCAATAACAATTTACCCCCGAATTCACCTTCGGAAACAACTTAAGCCTCTTATTAATTGATCTGGAACAAATTGTTCTGAAGGAAAACGCAACGACAACAGAAATAGATTCGATGCAGATCACCGGGAATAAAACGACCATCATACCCTACTAGCATTCCAAAATCCTCGAAAGGGAAAACGCAAAGAAGAAACCGAAACACGAAAAAGGACAAATAGAAAGAGCATTTACAGGCAAGAGGAGACGAAAACTCAGGCGATTGATTGATGACAACTACACCAAAATTGGGAACAACTCCATCAATTGAATTGACTTCATCGATCGAGAAACGCGGATCCCGGCACCCTGCAAAAATTCCATTGCTCTTTCGCGCGCGCAAGAGAGAGAGAGAGAGAGAGAGAGATGAAATAGGGAAAAATTAAAAAAAGCGTAAATGAGGGAGTTTTGTGGGTGTCCTTTGTGCGTGTGTTTTAGAGGTGACATGGCAAATAAAAAAAACAAATATAAATAAATAATCCAAAAATAAATAGAAATGCCCTCGTCAATTTGGCGCCCCGAGCCGGTTATAAGCCGACATAGCTGTCTTTGGCGCTTGCGGCGCCTTGAAAACCGTTGATTCAGCATTTTCCCCTCCATTGACTTATTGACTAAAATATTATTAAACAAAATAAAATAACATGCCGGTCACGTTTCCGGTCTGGGCCTGCTCTTCTTGGGCCCACCATTCTAATGGGCCCTACTACATCTTTTTCCACATTGGATCCGGTCCACTTCCACCCCCTCCAGTTCTTTTTTGCCACGTGTCACCTTATGCTTCTAACTTGTTCACATGATAAACTTAAATTTAAATTTATTTGAATAAAATGATGTAAAAGGGAAGAGCAAAATGGAGCCTCGGGGGCACCGCCGTTGGATGGGGCGAAGTTGTTAAGAAATAGAAGAATCCAACGGGGGAGAAGAAGAGGCCCACATCGTACGTAGGTCGTAAGCGTCAGGTGTAGGGCGCGAAATTAGCGGCGCCGTTAATTGGAAGTTAATTGAGAAACAAACAAAAACCGCGTGAAGAAAGTGAAGCATCTAACGCCAAGTCAAACAAACTTTGTTTTATTATTTTATTTAATGCTCCAAGCTTCCAGCTTCCAGCTTCCAGCTTCCAGCTTCCAGCTTCCAGCTTCCAGATGGGATTCGGCTTTGCTGTTGTTCCTGTGTTGGACCACTGCACGACAACGTCTTGTTTTAAATAAATACATTACTATTATTATTATTATTATTATTTTTTATTATTCCATTTCATTTCCCACAGCTGTTAACAACCCAACTCCTTCCAAACACCCTTATTTCTTCCCCTTTTTCTTGTCTATCCCCTTAATTCAACCAAACCCCTCTACTGCTCCACACTAATATCTACGCAATATCTCTTCCCTACCTTCTGCTACCTATGAAACTTCCTCGCACCTCACCCCCTCTTCTCATCCGACAAATAACTAAATGTACTAATCAATTCATCGAGTCGGTCAGTCGGTATTGTATTAACGGAATTTAAAGCTAGGATGAAGATTTAAACTTCTGACCTCTAATCGAGAGCATATGTCTTTATCTTCAAAATAGGCTATATTGTGTTCGATCTCTTTCATCTCTGCCTCGCTCGTTGTTATCTAGGTTGAAGAAAGATTTAGAACCTTGTAGAGAATGGAGAGGGGCCAAGCATCTTCCTCTCAAGAGTGCTTCTTGAGGCTCCACTCTCCCCCATAAAGCCCCGTTAGCCTGGGCGAAGATGGGGATAAAAAATAAGGATTGAAGTTCCCTTCCTTGACCCGGTTAGGAACCGGATAGGGGGTTAGCTTTGTAAATGTGTAGAGCCAAGTGTAGTGTAGTAGTAAGCACTTTTAAGTCAAGTATTGACAATTAAATACTACTTTGGTCCACGTATTGGTTGATTAAGGCTCTATGATTGATGCAAAAGCTCAAACTATTTGATGGATGTTCATGTTGGGTACAGGAGATATGCAAGCAATTTCCATAAATCTCATGCAAAGTAACAAACATATAGGACCATGACGTACCGGGGGGCTGGATGTGAGGAAGCTTCTTGGTGATTCAGAAACCCAACCTCATGTTTCAATCAACCACCACATCCTTGTCCACCTGCCACCAGAACCTAAGCTTTTAGGCTATGATCCAACAAATCTCGAAATTGGTTTTTTTGTACCAGTAATGCCTGCAGCTGTGTCCAAAACGTCCACAAATGATGTATTTACCCTACTCGACCTCTCTGCAAGGCTGCAATATGCACTACTACCACGTCATTGACATGGCTTAAAGAATGCCTATCGTTTCCTGGGCCAAAATGTAATGGGGTAATTGCTAAATTTTGTTAAGAAGATAAAAAATATTTTTAACAAAATTTAAATTGCATGACTTCTGCAAATACTCAAATGATTAGTAGGACAAGAGACAAGTATGGATAGAAACAGGAAGAAGAATCTGCTCAAAGAGAAAGGGAAAGAACAGCCAAAAAGGGAGGATTTATTTTACTTTTTTTATTCGCTTTTGACTATGCAACAAAATTAGCTGAAGTTTCAAAAGTGAGCTTAAAAGTATGTTTCACAGCTATAAAGATCATGTCAAACTCACTCTAAGGAATAAACGTAATCAAAGTAGGCTGCTCACTGGTCATTGGTAAATCCATTTGAGCAGCCTTACTTCAGTGATTTCACTGCAGATTTCCAGTGTAAACAACAACAAAGTTATTCCACCGAATTCAAAATGGACATATGAATTCAAAATGAGTGTTATTCCACTGAATGATCTTTGATCTTTTGTTGGTTAAGCTAGTAATCATTGACTTGAGCCTTCCAACTGAATTTACCATGCGGGCAATAACATTTCCGGCAGTATCGGAATGCCCTCAGATGCAGCTTGCAATGCAATCTTGTCAGCAATGGCCTTCGAAATAACTTCTCATGATGGACCTGTCATCACAGCCGCGTTCAGAGAACTTTGAAAACATCGATGAAGATCAACAGCATTTGTCCATGGATCACAAAAGGAAGGAACAAGAATAAGCTAATAGTACCTGTTTCTCATCAGCAACATATCCATCGGTCGAGCCAGGCACAAAGAAGGACAACGTATAAAGAACCTGAGATGCAAGACTCGGCCTAAAGACGCTCCAGTTACAGGAACCTTCATACTTTCAACGAAGGCAAAGCGACTGAAGTAGCCAAAGCTGGAAATGCCTTGCAGTGCTCAAATCATATATAGGTATTAACAACATAATCAATTCTCTAAAGAAAATTAGACATTACTGTGAAACGTGGAGGAAGAGAACTTGTAGTAATTAGCAATCTTCAGCTAAGTGCTCAAAGTTGCAAGTTTTAGAAACTCTGTTCTTAATACTACTTTTTATAGAAGTCACTACTAATAATATCCACCATTTTATTTAAAGCTTTTTAAATGGCAGTTTCTGTGAACCTTTTATTAATTTGAAGGGCTCACATCACAAACTACGTCTTTTCCTCATTGGTTTACAACTTTGCAGGGGGGCTCTACTTTACATTTACATTGTTGCTTGCTCCAAAGTTGCCCAAGAGCCGAAGTTGGCGGGGGCCATGTTCTGAAGCAAGACGTGCAATTGATGGCAACAAATGAGTATCGGGTCTGATTTTCACACGATGAATGGCTATAGTCTCGAGCGGCGCATCAATTTGATGGGATTGAAGGAGGTACGTCGTCTTGTTTGTGCACGCAAGACGTTGTTTGAAGAACTTGAAGATCCGATATCCCAATCCTCGACATTCTTTGGAACACAAACATCATAAACGATTTGACCGAGAACTCCATGAGGAATGGTAGTCAGCGAATTAGGTAGCTGCAATACTCCTTCCATGTGTTTGTCATGCATGGATCCAATGCCCCTGTAGTCAAAGACATCCACGATGCTGGAGAAGTAAAGGTGGTCGCTAGGAGCAAGAGCAGGCTCCTGAAAACTACTCGATGAAGATGCAGCTTTTCTAACGTCAGGTGTTGTTTTGTAAGAGTTACCATTCATTTTATCTATTGCAGTTACTTCTTCATCAGGTCTAGTTCTTTGACAGTAAACTCCAGCGGCTTTACTTAGCAACTCTGTGACAGCAGCTCTATATTCAATGGGAAAATGCAGATAATGCCCTGCAATATGCAATCAGAAAACAAGACTTCAAAGCCTGTACAATTCACAGAGTGGTCGTTTGAAGAACTCCAATCACATGGTAAAAGACATAATTGTTGGCTAACAAAAGATAGAAATGTTGCTGCAAACTACTTGTGAACTTTGACAACATATGTGGCTCCGGCTCCGGTTGGGAATGTGCAAGAGAAAACGAAATAATACAATAGTATATCGCTATATTCTATGACACAGGCTGTACGGCCCAAGCCCACCATTAGCATATATTGTTCTGTTTGAGCTTTCAATATTTTTAAAACACTTCTCCTAGGGAGAGGTTTCCACACTCTTATAAAGAATGCTTCATTATCCTCCCCAACCGACGTGGGATATCACACAGACTCCCATAGAGAAGAGTAATGTCCATACATACAAAATTCAAAAGCTTAGGAACATACCAACATGTGGGGAGCCATTCCATTTGATTAATTTAACATCGCCCCCAAGATCTTCAAGTCGTTGAGCAAAATTGAAGACGGTCTGATAGGGAGCAAGATCATCCTCTTCCGAGCACAAAATAAGATAAGGAACTTTCATACTCTGCATTAGAACAGTGTTAGGTGAATTCAAATCTTGTAGACTTGAGTTGAATTGGGACAAGTAAATGTTAAATTGCTTACAACTGAGGCATAAAGAGTTTGCCAATATTCTGCACGGTGTGATTCAAATCTGTTGAGGAAAAGCGCATCAAGACCAGAAGCAATGTTGTGCGCTAACCATGAAACTATTCTCGGTGGCTGAGATGCTTTCAGCACAGTTGGATGAAGCAAAAATCGAGTTCCCAAGTCACTGGTAAAATCAACTGGACTAGAATCATAAATATAGCCAGAAATACAGTCCCTGACCAGTTCATAACCATCCTACAGCCAGAGTATACAATAAACAGATTGAATAAATTCAGGTAAGACCATATGGGTTCCTCAGATATCTTTGAATAAAGATTGAACAGAAAAGAGTAACGTTTACTGAACAATGTTGCTGCGGTTCATGGTATCCCTCAATTATCTGCCATGGCATGAAGAGCAAATGTGAGAGAAAATCTGATTGTCCTCAAAAGGATGCCCCTATGTGGTTTGAGCAAACCATGATAGAAAAGTATGAGAAAGCTCACCTGGAGAAGCTTATACATGCATGCTTTAGGCCCACCAGAAAATGATGCAAACACTATGGGGCATCTCTTTATCTTTAGCTCCTGAAAGTAAATTCCAGCAGTTACTAAAGCATTTAGGTAGCTTAGACTTGAACAATTATTTCAATTTTGCACTTCAAAATTACTTTAGTACTAACCTCGACTAGTACTTTAAGAATGTCCAATGCCAGAGATGCAGCCTTATCGGGGAAGAACCTGCTCCAAATGTCCATCAAAAACATCAAAATTAGACGTGTTTGCCAGCCAAATGTCTTAGCCAGGGAAAAGAAATCAGAGGCCGGATTAAAACCCCCGATTTCAAAACTTTAATAAACAAACTACAAGCCTCCCAGCGTTAATTCAACTGCAATATGAATGTAGGCATTATTTTCTTCAAATTTTCAGCCAACAAAGAAAGTAAATACAATATCCTATGTCCCAATGGGCCTAGGTTGCCTATATCGCTAAGCGTACTCGTTAAATGAACACAACTACAGATACAGATGGAATTTGAAGACTGGCCGCTAGAAATCTGGAGCGAACAAAGGTGGTATTTAGTAAGCTCATAGATTCAGCAACAATATCAAAATCGGATTTCCAGTGACAATCAAAGCGGGAAAAAGACAAGTAAATTGGGAAGTTGAACTCACATATTGAGGAATTCAGAATGGCAAACAAGTGAATTCCAACCCAGGGAGGAATACATATCCACATATCTTTTCAAGTGCCTCTCCTGACTAGACATCCATGCGAACGCCATTACAATCCCTTCGACCTTCCCGACTCGCTCTCTTCTTCCCCAGTAATACCTTCTCCCAAAACCCCACATCTTTCTCCTCCTCTTCTCTCCTCTCCGAATTCCAAAATCCAGTAAATCTTGCAGCTCTGGATAATAAAGAACTTCCACTCAGTTTGTCCTTGTCTTCAAGCTTTCTTCATGAAAAATATCGGGAGGATGAAGACGATTCTGATGGGAAATGGAGAACTTACCGACCAAATAAAGAAGAAGAACCGCAACGCAATTGTCCAGAATTGCAATGGCAAGTGCTCGTTTTTTTGTTAATTTTTTTTTATTATTATTATTGAAATGAAACTTTTGACAATAAATTTCAACTGGTTGTGGCCCCACTATGCTGCCTTTCGCCGAAGAAACCTTGCCACGTCATCTCCACAATTACAATTTCTGCCATCCGCATGGAAATATTTGCAGTAACATAAAGTTATTCCTAGTAACTCGCTTATTTGCTACTCCACGTAATATTTTTGTTTCATTCAATAATAAAGTTCATCAATTTTATGTCTAATTGGTGTTTAAAATTTTAATTTGTTTAATTAATTCTGAATCCTATAAGAATTCTGACATTCGTTCAAACATTCGGAATCCCCCATGTATTAATTCACATCTCAAGCGTCGAACTAACACTGCTGTCGTGTACAATCGAAATCAACTCTCGTTTAGAATTTTGCGTTGCATTTATGATTCAAAGAAGACCCTCTTTAGCATGATTGAAAATCAGAGCGTTTACAACTTTGAATTAAGAATCTTTCCTGTGTTTCCTGTGTTTCCTGCAGGGACGTGTCGAGACCATAGTTCGATTAAAACACAACAGCATTGAGCATAGTTCCTAATGTCTGTAGGATGTTTGATGACATCAAATTGGAGATATGTTCTTCCAAGTGCTTCTTGGCATCTGGCCTTCCCACATTTGCCATTGCAAGCTTCTCCGGTGACAACTCGCCTTCCTCCTGCACTGCCTTGCTGTACGTGATAGCCAAGTTCAGCATTTCCTGCACCATAAATCAAAACATAGGTTTGCTGTGTTCAATTTTATCAGGTTTAGCTGTGAAAAGTGAGTCGTCAAGATATTTGATTAAGACGAGATCATCACTCTTTACATTTTCAAAATTCGTAAGACACAAGAAGAAATGCAACCTCCAGAAGGATAAAAGACATTTGCTTACCTGGACGGTCTGCTCATTAATTTTCGAGTGAGCGTCAAATCGTCGAACTGTTAGCCCATCAGTCCATTTCTTCTTGTGAAGACTAAGTAACATCTTCTCTTCAAGTTCATTCTTCCTATAGTTAATTGCAAGAGAGTAATAATGGCGGTTCAATCCATGGATTAATGCCTGAAAATAATGGCACGAGTCAGTAGAATGAAAGCTAGATGATTTAATTGTATTTGTTCAATACTTACTTGTATAGATGGTTTATTAAGATGGCCGACGTTTGATGTTGTTTGTCGTGGTTCTCGGCCAAGCATCATTGCCTGGGGATTAATTAGACGAAAGGCATCAATAGCCACCTTCCCCTTGACACTTTGGATTGGATCCACAACTACGGCAACAGCTCGCTGATTAAGAGCTTCAAAACTCTACAAATGATAATGAAAGTATACCAGCATCACATTTTAATCTCAATTGCAAACCATTTGCCAAAGCGCTCAAGTCAAGCTAAACAAGTAACTTCATTACACTTTTTCCGTAGCTGGAAGACCCAAGAAAATAAAATGTACACTAAAATTATTACAAAAAAACAAAATCCCAGATAAATATGAATATTTATACAAGAAAAAAAAAAAAAAAAGAAGCACGAACCCCGAGAAAGATTAAACAATAAGGTGGATAACAATGATGTAAAATGGAGGTTGTTTTAGAACCACAAACCTGTTGAGTATTGATGTCGACACCAGAGAGCCAACATCCAAATCCAGGATGAGAGTGGTACCATCCTACAACCATCTCAGGGCTGAAGACAAAAGAATCAAACAGTTGAAGGTAATGGGCAGCAGAAGATTATATGTTAATAATGACTTCAATCTTTATTCTTCAGAAAAATTGTAAGTAGAAAAGAATGGACT